GTCTTGGTCGCAATGATGTCCGGGTTCTGCGGCATGTAGCGCGCGCGGTTGATCTCGCCGTCGTGGTTGATGCGCTGCATGATGCTGATTTTGCACTCAGCCCCGCCGTACCCGCCCAGCTCGTTCGTGTCCGCGTTCAACTTGTGCTGGTCTGGGTTGACGTCGTCACGCGGCACCTGCACCTGCGCGATTTGCAGGTAATTCTGCTCATTCTCCGACGTGTGCGTGCCCAGCAGAAGCCGCTGCAGCGTGTAGTCCTTGCCCTCAGGCCGCTCGATGTCAGGGAACCACTGCGCCGTCAGCGATGGCCACTCGAGCGCATGGGTCACCAGGAGGTCGTACAGGAACGGCGAGTTCTTTTTCCACGTCTTGTACTCCTCGTTAATTACCTTCTCCTCGGCTGCTGCCTTGTCAGGCTCCTCAGCCTGCGCCGTCGTGTCGCGCCGCAGACCCGAGTCTGAGGGCGCCGGTGTGCCTGCATGTGAGCCAGTGGTCGTAGGCGTAGCCATGGTTCTCGAATGTATTTGCCGTTTAAGATTACAAGAAAAGGTTGCGAATGCGAGAGCCAAAAAAAGGACTGAATATGCAGCTCGTCGCGAACACAGTATTTACGTCAAGCACACAAATCAAGTGGAAATCCAGTAATAGATCGCCGCAGATCTAATCTAGATATGGCCCAGACATGAGTCTTTTTTGCGGTGCGTCCAGCCGCCCATCCAAGTGCCCAGCCAATGGCACAAACTGCTCGCTCCGGATTTGCAGAGCGCTCCCCCAAGCGATTCACCGCTAGCGTGTTCCCAGGCTATCAGGCGCCCGCTTTTGTTTTTTTGTTTATTGTTTTTAAGGGCCGACCGCCATGTGTCACGCCAGTTCACACAATGCTCCAGGCGGAAATGCGCAACTGGCTGGAGCCCCTGCGCATGTCAAGCAGTATTGTCAAATAATTGCGCTGTTTTCGCCTCACTGACCCCGCGCAGTTATTTTGTGTTGCTACCCCTTAGCTGCAGGGAAGCACTGGCAGCGACACCCGGCCCAAACCCCTAGTCTCGAAACGCCTATATAAGAGGATCGGTTCGCAGCCTCTCTCCCTCTCCAGACTCTTTACTTTTCTATCGATCACTACAATCCACAAAAGCTTCTCCACACATACCAAACATTCACCAAACAATTATAACAATGGTCTGCCCCTGCGATAAGAAGACTGCTGCCACCGGTTGCGTCTCGTGCACCTGCGCTGGCAAGTGCGACTTCCCCACCTGCACCTGTGGCCAGCCCGGAGCCGGTGCGTGCTCGTGCCCCGAAACCTCCAACTGCAAGACATGCAAGTGCTCTGGCAAGTGCGAGTGCGCTGATTGCTCGTGTGCCAAGTGCGGTGCCGAGGAGGTCCAGAAGTCGTGCTGCTCGTCCAAGCCTGCTGCTGCCTGCCAGTGCGGCGACAAGTGTGAGTGCTCATCGGCCAAGGCTGCCTGCGCCTGCGGCCCTTCTGCCTGCAAGTGCAAGGAAGCCGGATCGAGCGTTGCCGAGTGCAAGTGTGCTGAGTGCAAGTGTGCCACTGTCTGCAGCTGCGGTGACAAGTGCAAGTGCACCGAAACTGCCAAGTCATGCTGCTCCTCCAAGCCTGCCGCTGCCTGCCAGTGCGGCGACAAGTGCGAGTGCTCATCGGCCAAGGCTGCCTGCGCCTGCGGCCCTTCTGCCTGCAAGTGCAAGGAAGCCGGATCGAGTGTTGCCGAGTGCAAGTGCGCCGAGTGCAAGTGCGCCAGTGTCTGCAGCTGCGGCGACAAATGTGCCTGCGGCCCGTCCCCTTGCCAGTGCGGTAGCGCATGCATCTGCGGCGACAAGTGCGAGTGCGGTGCTGAGTGCAAGTGCAGTGAGGCTGCCCCGGTATGCTACGGATGCCCGTGCGGTGCCGAGTGCAAATGCAACGGATCTGATGACAAGTGCTCTGTTGGATGCACTTGCTAAGCACTTTTGCATGCGAGTGCAAGCAGCATCGCCAGTCACATCTGATCTTTCTGTAATTTTCTTCCCATCAGTAGTTTCTCATTAAAAGGAGAAAAAAAGCAAATCATAAAAATCACCCACGATCAGCAAACCAGCCTACTATATTGGCAACGCCCTGCCTGTGTGTATTGAGCCCAAGAGCGCGTGTAGCAGAGAGTATGCCGTTTTCTATGTATGCTTCACGTGTATAAATTTCGCGACTTGGGCATTAACACATTGCTAATAATTAATGCTACCATGATTCGACAAACGCAGTGACCCCTTTAAATGCTCCAATATTGTCCAATGCTTCCAGATCCCTGCTCTGGGAAGTGCAAAAATCGGAGATTGTGTGCATAATTGAACTAGGTGCGCCTATTCTGAGAAGCGACGGTAAGCATTCAATAGGCTGATCTATCGATTCGACATTGCGAGGTGTCTAGATGGGGCGGGTTCCAAAATGGAACTCTTGAAGTTTAGGCAACGAACCGATTCTAGACGGTAAGAATGACCAGTCTACAGGATCAAAGTTGCCTCCAGGTTTTCTGTTTGCGACAAAATGACAACTAGGTTGGATTTTAAGATACCGCAAATTGGGCAGCCTGACAAGAAGTCGCTCGACAAAAATATAGCGGCATGAATATATGTCCTGTCCAGTGTAAAGTGCTGGAGGATAAGTGACTGTAGGTACTCCATGAGTGGCTTTCCTCCTAGAAAAAACCAACCGTGTTCACATCAGCAGTGTGTATTTTGTATTCCAGTCCAATACAATTTTCGTCAGGCTATCAACCCGGATATCCATTCGCATTATATGCCCTGGGAACTGGGTGAAGGAACGAGTCTGAAAATAAGAGCTAACATCAAAGCTCCGAATAGATAGCGGTGTTGACATTCGGGGTCCAGAGTCCTCCTGCGCCACCATAGACAAGGCCAAAACGCATACCTACAAAGGCCCAGACAGACGACCAGCCTTCCTTCTTCCCTCAGTCACTTTGAGAATTTATTTTTTCTATATATTCGATATCCACTCATTCCCCAAGTTAACAAACGGTATGGTTCTCGATGTCTGACCGAGTATTCCTCCTCCAAAAGTCACTGGGCAAAAATTTTCGACTGTGAAATCGACGGCCACTAGGCTTGGTAGCTGGTAACAGAACGCGTCACATGTACTACTGTGGTCATATCCATCAATTGGAGGGGAATTCGGGTTGGGGAATTCAGTCCTCATAGTCCTGATACTGCCCCCATTTCACAGTGAAGAACTCAAAAATACAGAGAATCTGTAGCAAATTGAGAATGGGATATTCGTTTATCCAGCCACCCAGTACAAGGGTCTGAGACCAGTCACGAAACCCCGCTGCACCCAGGAACTAGCCGATGTTTGAGTGCGATGGATCGCAATAACTGTAGTCAACAACAAGTGTTTGGCAGATCATCGGAAGCAATATACTGCCCCACATGCGACATGTGGTGGCTAACATCGAGAGCAGCCTGTGACGTCCGATTCCTTTCAGTTCTCCAGTTGTAGTTTCGATGACAACACGGAAAATAAGCAACATAATGTCGCTGCCAAGTGCTTTGCATATGCTCTGCTGAGTAGTGTCCATTGGCGTCAAGAAATTAGAGCTATACAAGTGGGAATACCTTGCAAGGTGCAAAGGCAGAAGACAGCAAACACGTGGCAGCTTGCGGATTGTGACATTGTCTTGTTGCATTTATCATTGCAGAGGGCATTGATTCTACCCGAATGTATCTAGGATCAATCAAAATGACTAGGATCCATTTATCACCACCTCGTTCACCCATGGCGCATATACACATGCTAGCACAGAAGGATAGCCGGATACATGGTGGTCTTGGCCAAGGGTGTTCCTGAGGTCTGTACTACTACTAACTCCTCGCAATGGCGCACTTTTCTACCCCAGCAGCAAGGAATCATTCAGACTCTTGTGGATAGAAGGTCCAATGCAGCTGCTCCAGCAAGCAGCTGGTTACTGGGCTGTTGCCATGCCCCTGATACCTCAATGCGTAGTTAAACTTGAATATAAGATAACGACCAGGAATTCTGATCTTGGCTGGTCGTGATATCGACAAAAGACACAGTCAATCTTGTCCTCAATCCAACGCGCGCTTCACGTCATCACCGCCTGAGCGTAGCCTTTCCCGCTGATTAGAAAGGGATATTTTAGGAAATTGCTTGGCATGCGGGTTCATAATCCCTGTTTGTATTTACAGAAATAAACAGCTCCTCGACAAGCGCTTTCTGAGAGCCTATGCACGAATTTTCCGGCCACGCATATGCGCGTAGATTGAGGATATCTTCAGATGACAAACAAGAATGATCGCCATGTCTTTTGGCTATTAATACATCTCCTTTCTCGACTTCCGCTGTGCTGCATCTGCGCGTCTAAAATTAGCAATCTCCTCGAAACTAGTCCTGAGCGCGACATTCGCTCAATTACAGGATATCCTAATAGTCAATCCAGCGTATATAAAGCAAACCTGCCACGGCTACATTGTCATATTTTCATATCATCATCACCATCACCATCCCACGCTTCACTCAAGCAGCCCCATTCAAAACAAATTCACTTCTTGCACTTGCATCTTTAACGAAAAACAATTCTGACAATGCGCTTTACTCTAGCTACTGCTTTTGCCATCCTTGCTGCTACTGCTGCTGCCAACCAGGCTGGCCCTGTTGACAACGATATCTCGACGCCTTCCAACGATCAGGCTGGTGGAATTATTGAGCCTCTCGTCGAGACTACCGAGGAATACGATGAGGAGGATAACCAGCGCGGCGGTCGTGGTCGTGGCAGCGGCCGTGGAAAAGACTTCCTTAGCGACCTGGGTGTCGAACTGATTGGTACTGGTGTGGAGTCCGGCCTCAACGCTGCCATCTACAACCAGCGTGGTAGTCGTGGTCGCGGTAGCGGTCGCGGTAAGGACTTCCTGAGCGACCTGGGCGTTGAGCTGATTGGTACTGGTGTTGGTGCCGGTCTTGATGCTGCCATCTACAACCAGCGCGGCGGTCGTGGTCGCGGCAGTGGCAGTGGCCGTGGAAAGGACTTCCTCAGCGACCTGGGTGTCGAACTGATTGGTACTGGTGTGGAGTCTGGTCTCAATGCCGCTATCTACAACAAACGCAGCATCGATTATGATGAGGAGTACGATGAGGATGATAACCAGCGCGGTGGTCGCGGTCGCGGCAGCGGCCGTGGAAAGGATTTCCTTAGCGACCTGGGCGTTGAGCTGATCGGCACTGGTGTTGGTGCCGGTCTTGATGCTGCCATCTACAACCAGCGTGGTGGTCGTGGTCGCGGTAGTGGCCGTGGAAAGGACTTCCTGAGTGACCTGGGTGTTGAGCTGATTGGTACTGGTGTGGAGTCTGGTCTCAACGCTGCTATCTACAACAAGCGTAGTATCGATTATGATGAAGAGGACTATGAGGATGACAACCAGCGTGGCGGTCGTGGTCGCGGCAGCGGCCGTGGAAAGGACTTCCTTAGCGACCTCGGTGTCGAGCTGATCGGCACTGGTGTTGGTGCTGGTCTGGATGCTGCTATCTACAACCAGCGTGGAGGACGTGGTCGCGGTAGTGGCCGTGGAAAGGACTTCCTGAGTGACCTGGGTGTTGAGCTGATCGGTACTGGTGTGGAGTCCGGCCTCAACGCTGCTATCTACAACCAGCGCGGCGGTCGTGGTCGCGGGTAGCGGTCGCGGCAAGGATTTCCTTAGCGACCTCGGTGTTGAGCTGATCGGCACTGGTGTTGGTGCCGGTCTTGATGCTGCCATCTACAACCAGCGTGGTGGTCGTGGTCGCGGTAGTGGCCGTGGAAAGGACTTCCTGAGTGACCTGGGTGTTGAGCTGATTGGTACTGGTGTGGAGTCTGGTCTCAACGCTGCTATCTACAACAAGCGTAGTATCGATTATGATGAAGAGGACTATGAGGATGACAACCAGCGTGGCGGTCGTGGTCGCGGCAGCGGCCGTGGAAAGGACTTCCTTAGCGACCTCGGTGTCGAGCTGATCGGCACTGGTGTTGGTGCTGGTCTGGATGCTGCTATCTACAACCAGCGTGGAGGACGTGGTCGCGGTAGTGGCCGTGGAAAGGACTTCCTGAGTGACCTGGGTGTTGAGCTGATCGGTACTGGTGTGGAGTCCGGCCTCAACGCTGCTATCTACAACCAGCGCGGCGGTCGTGGTCGCGGTAGCGGTCGCGGCAAGGATTTCCTTAGCGACCTCGGTGTTGAGCTGATCGGCACTGGTGTTGGTGCCGGTCTTGATGCTGCCATCTACAACCAGCGTGGTGGTCGTGGTCGCGGTAGTGGCCGTGGAAAGGACTTCCTGAGTGACCTGGGTGTTGAGCTGATTGGTACTGGTGTGGAGTCTGGTCTCAACGCTGCTATCTACAACAAGCGTAGTATCGATTATGATGAAGAGGACTATGAGGATGACAACCAGCGTGGCGGTCGCGGTCGCGGCAGCGGCCGTGGAAAAGACTTCCTGGGTGACCTGGGTGTTGAGCTGATCGGCACTGGTGTTGGTGCTGGTCTGGATGCAGCTATCTATAACCAGCGCAGCGGTAAGGGTAACGGTAAGGGCAAGGATAACGGCAAGGGCAAGGATAGCAGCCATGGAAAGAAGCCTATCGTCACCGGACCTTTCCGCCCTGGTCCTTTCCGCCCTGGTCCTTTTCCGCCCTGGTCCTTTCAACCCTCCTCCCTTCTACGACATGCCTGAGGTCTACTTCTAAGTCTTACTCAGAGAGCTGAAAGCGCAAATGTAAATTACCTTGCACACGATTGATACAAATGCACTCATCCATGTTTGGGTTAGGTTGTACATGTTCTGTCTTTACTAGAATTGCTCTGCTCGCGATGCGAGCTCGGCTGCTAGTCAGCATGGGTTGACACGTCGATAAGAGCATCACGGCGAACCGGTCATTTGAACGTGTCAGATGGTTGTTGGTGCAATGTCGATCATGGACATCTCCACCTTGGTGGTCTGCTCAGCGTAGGCGCTTCAGCGCTGGCTCGCTGCTGCTAGCAGCAGAATCGCCTGCTGCTGCACGCCTCTTGCGCGGCCTCTTTGTTGCCGGAGTGGGTGCCAGAAGCATCGGCAGCAATGGCCGTAGAACGACGGAACCGTTCAGGAATACCGCCTGAATCACAGAGTGACTGGAAAATGAGCCTGAAGTTTAGAACTGCTGCGAGATCGCGGTTCAAGAGCCGAGACGAATAGGCTCGCCTGTATTGTGCCATGGCCCGCTTACATGACTCGCTTGTACAGCGGAGAAGGCCATGGCACTTCACAGTTGGGTTCTTCGATCTCTGGTAGGGCCGCGGGTTGGGAACATGACGGAATGTCTGCAGCGACTTTTCGCAGCAGAACGGGCACATCGACGATGTCCGGAATTCGTCGATCAGATAGACTTCAAAGCCATGGTGCTTGAACTTGTCGCGCCACCCCTTGCCACGAATCGGCGCATGGTGCCGGGCCATCGGCGCACTCCAACTGCCCATGATCAGCACTGGATCTGGACCGAACTTGCTCCGGAGTTTCGCGGCAAGCCTGTGGTCTGCACGGGCCTGGTTCATGAATGAATCAAGGCGCAGCTTGCGGTGAAGCGGGTACACCTTGGGACTGGTACTAACACCTGGATGGGCCTTCCAGCGCCTCTGGTGCTGCTTGTTTGACTTAGTGGGCTGCTGCTCTGGTAACCTTCGTGTTGTCATCATGTTGGCATAAAACGGTGGTAGGACACACCGCACAGATGCACGGGCAGTAACGTAGGCACGGAATTTTGCTGGGCTAAGGGTCTGGCAGCAGTGCTTGGAAATATCTGCCTCTGCTATGTGGACAGCATCTTCTGGGGCTTTCAGTCCCATTCGCGGAAACTCAGTTTCCACAAATGACTGCACCTAGGGCTGAATTCGTCCAGCAAATTTAGACATGTGGTGATCCTCAGCGATGATTCAACTGCTACATATCCCGGACTCCATACATTTTGTCAGTTGAAGTGAGGTCTGGTGTCATACTCTGTTCCTCTAAAGTGGGGAGCCAGACGGAGTACAGTTCCCTGCGCTCAAATATTTTGGTTTCTTTCATGGTGCTTATCCATTCTGAGATAGCAACATGCTATGTAGATGAAGATTCACCGCCATTTCTGGGCATGCTTGTGTGCAACAGAGCCCTTGGCATGTTCAGTGGGTTCGATTTGTTGGATGAGGGACGGTTTAAGACATTGAATTACCTGAACCCACACAGCCATCATCGGCGGCCCATATTTTTACTGAAGACCGTGCTTCACAGGTACTCTGTACTTTTCGCCAGACACCGATGATCGAGCTCAGCGATGTGTTCGATTTTGACTATGCTATTCTTCAGCAGTACGTCAACAGCCTTGCTTCAATCATCCATGGCCTGAGCATCCCTGGGATGAGATGAATATATGAGCAGATTCTTCACTTGATTGCCTTTCTGCCATTCATTAGAGAACTCTCACTGGCTTGCCACAGAGGTGTAGCCCTGGAGGAGACAGACTTACCAGATGCGGTCGAACTTTTGGCACAGGCACGCCTGAACTATGAGGATGTTGTCGATACAATTGGGTAGGTTTTGCGGGTTGTAGTCAGCATTGGTATGATAGCTGAACCCTGTCCTCCCCTCTCTCAAACAGTACAGCGCATCTCCATTCGGCTAGAGCAGGATGACGGACATGCTCAGGCAGCAAAATTAATGATCATTTCAACGTTGCAGTGTCCTACTGTCCGCATTTTTCATTCATTTGTCAGCGATTACTAGGCTATATCCCGCTCGGAACTCACGGAATTCAAGCACCTCGCCGAGCTTGCTGCTCGTTTGAGCGCGGGCAGCAAGCAAGCTTTTTCTGGAATGGTTTATTTCTTATCATAGTCAATGCTCTTCAGTAACGTTTCGCCATATATGGCCAGCCCGTTGCGCACCTGCATGGCTTCAGCTAACTCTGACACGCATTCCTGTTACGTCTAGTTCAAGGACGCCCTTACCGGGAACGCAGGCCAGGTCGATACGTCATCGCCAGGTTTCTGGTGATCAAGATAAAAATTATCAACTCGCCCAAAATCCTTTGCGTGCCTCCAAAAAGTCGATCCCAGTGCAACCTGCGGTCGCCCTGTTTACAGTAATGTGATCCAGCAACTTCACCTCTTTAGATATAAACTTTTTATTTTCATTATGCCATCCTGCGACGGAATCCGTGACGAGTACATCGAGTGCCTTCTGCGGTCCGAGTGCGTGTTCATCAAGCGGCACTCGGTTGAGGAGTGCGTCAAGAACAAGGACCTTGCGACGCTGATCCCAGAGCGCTGCCATATGCTGCGGCAAAGCCTGTTCGAGTGCAAGCGCGGCCTGCTGGACATGCGCAAGCGGATGCGTGGTGTGCCAAACTCGGGCCTGCACCGGAACGAGCATGTCGACGACAGTAGCAAATGGAGCGAAGAGTGACAAGAGAGCATCGGTTTATAGAGGCGACTTTTCCATTAAATTTCTTATCTGCTACGGGATCGCGCAGCGGTCCAGGGGCGGCGCACCTGACCCCCATGTCTGGATGCTGATGAAGGTGACGTAGACCAGGGAGACCAGAGCAATAACGATCAGGACCATGTCCTTGGTCTTGGCCCAGCGAGTTTCGGCCACAGCCTTGTAGTGCAGCATGGCAGGGTACAGGAACGACAGCGGCAGGCATGCACCAGCGCCGACCAGGGCGATGAAGTTGTCCAGCTTGTCGGCGCCGAAAATGGCCACCATGGCGATGAACACGACCATCATGGTACGGAACAGGTTCTTCTGCCACTTGACAACTGGGTTGCCCTTGCCCGAGCGCGTGAACATGCCGGACTCGATGATACGGATGGCTGGGAACAGCTGCAGGGGCACAGACATGATGATGGCAAGCGTGTACAAGAACTGCACACCAACAGTCCATGCCGAGTCGTTGGGCAGGTTGAGCAGAATCACAGTCTCAACCTTGTCGCCAAATGCCAGGTAGGAGATTGCGCCGATGCATACAAACAGACCGGCGCAGATCACCAGCGAAGCGGTCAGAACCATGTTGAACTTTTCCTTCTTCTCCATGCTCTCGACAATAGGGATCACTAGCGAGATGCCCTCGTACGAGAATGCAGCGGTGCCGACGAGTAGGGGGAAGCGGCTGGGGTTGAACTGGGTGACCTCAGACGGGCCCTTGGTGATGATTGACCAAAAGTCGTAGTAGAACAGATAGGCAAGACCAACCATGATGAACAGGTTTCCGAGCATGGACAGCGAGGCAAACTTTTTGATCTTGCGCACAAACGCCAGAGGGATGTACGCCAGGAGCTGGACCAGGATCCAGAACTCGGGTGAGTAGTTGTACTGGCAATTGGTGATCGAGTTCCACAGATCGCGCATGTTGGTTGACACAAAGATCACGTATGCGCAGCAGAATCCTAGCTGGGCGAGAACAATCGATACCAGAACGCAGTACTTGAGCGGCTTGCCGTACAGCTTCAGCGCCAAGTCGCCGTAACTGCCGCCTATCTTCAGGTAGACATCGGTAAGCAGAACCATACAGTGCAAAGCATACCAGGCAATGCCCGACATCAATACGGTGGAGAAGATCAACCCGCCGTTAAAGAAAGCGCGCGGCAGGACCAGCACACCGGTGCCCACGAATGACTTGACCAGCAAGAAAAACGCCTTTTGTGGTGTTGCTGTCGCCTTGAGATCGTGGGACGACGCCTTGGCACCCTTCTTTCCCCTGAGTGGGGACCGCTCAGTAGCACGCGATTCGGCATCCTGCTCCTCAGTCTCAAGGGAATCATCCTCGTCTGCGACATCGTCATCTTCATCACTCGGATAGTCACCGCCAGCAAAGTGGCCATAGAGCCCGATGAAGTCGACGAAATTGGTAGTCAGCATGTTGACCGGCTGGCGACCTTCGCGGAGCGCACGCTCCTGTACAAACTGGCGCCGGAAACCACCAGGGGCGCTGATCTGGTCGCGCGTATATGGAATATCCCACTCTGAATCCGATGCCACTGCCGAGAACGAGCGCCGACGCTGGTGCTGCAGCCCACGCACACTGGGGGTCTGGCCATGCTCCTCCTGCCACTTGTAGATGTGGTGGGTTATGTCGCCAGACTTTAGCGTGAACGGATCGACAGGTACATTCTCTGCGTCCTCGTCGTCAGGACCATCGTCGTCTTCGTAGTTGTCGTCGCCAGAATACCCGCCATCGTCATTGGTGTCGACGCTGCCGTAGCTGCGTGCGACCGAGCCCTCATTGCTTGCGTTGTTGCCACGCAGCTCGCTGATCGGGCGGGTAACCAGATGGCGCTTGAGCCTGCGAGCAGCCTCCTCCTCCGACAGGACCATGTCGGGCATGACGGATCCATTGTCGGCTTCGTCATCGGGGGCCACTGCCGACGGGTGGTCAGCCCGACGCCGCCTATCGGGTGACTGGCTCAGACCCACCTTGGCGGAGGATGCGCTGGATGCCAGGATCTCGGTGGCCATTGCAAGCGAGGTCGGTCGCACGCGCGGGCTCTCGCTATTGCTGTTTAGCGCTGCCGACATGCGGCGGGACTGTGCGTTTGGCGGAAGCCGCTGTTTGCCCTTGGTAATGCTGATGGACCGCGGGCTGCTTGACTGCGACATGTAAAATGAAAACGCCTCAAATAGGAAGTAGAGGTAGAAGAAAAAAGAAGAAAGGTGAGGTACAGATGAAGTCACTGCACCCAGGTGGTGCAGACATCCCGCCTTTTATATTTTTCCGTAGCAGAAACCCGGGACAGCGTGGCTGGCGGCCAATCGAAAGCTCCGGATATTCCAAGCAAACGGCTCCAGTTGGCGCAAATCTTCCCATGCTCGCCAGTTTCGTGCAGGCTGCAAGATATCACTGTGGAGGCGAAAACAGGGCACGATGGTGGGTTCTGCTGGAGCCAGCTTGTCGCCGGTGCAGATCGCTGGCAACGGACCCGGGCCCAGGAGCCTGAAAGCGACTGCCAGCTCCAGCACCATTCCGGCTCTTCCCTCAGGAACTCCCGGGCGCTAACGTGATCTCTACTGCGCTTTCCCGGATGGAATCATAGTGACGCCATTTCGTTTGTCGCCCACTTATCGCCCACCGTCACCACCCAGCTTTTTCCGCTCTTTTTCGCAAACGATTTTTTTTGTTCCTGTCGATTTATTGGCAAATTTCAATAATGTTTTCACGCACCGCAGCCACACGTATAGTGCCGCGTGCTTGCAGCTACCGACTCAGCAGCACGCTGGCGCCGCGCAACCCGTACCTGAAAGAGTTCAAGTACAAGGATCGCGTTCCAGTCAAAAACGGCGAGCTGATACTAAGCACAGACGAGCACTCGATGATTGACCGGTTCGTGCGCGTCAACCAGGCGGGCGAGACAGCCGCCGTGACCATCTACAAGGGCCAGATGGCGGTTCTTGGGCGCGACCCGCAACTGCGCAAGCTGCTCACGCACATGCGCGACCAGGAGGTTGTGCACCTGGAGATCATGGACAAGCACGTGCGCGACTTTTGCGTGCGCCCGACGCTGCTTCTGCCGCTAGCGGCTGCAGGCGGCTACATGCTGGGCATGGTGACGGCCATGCTGGGGGTCGAGTCGGCGATGACGTGCACAGAGGCGGTGGAGACGCGAATCGGCAACCACTACAACGACCAGCTGCGGGACCTGCACCAGCTAAAGTATCCGGAGCTGGACGAGCTGAAGCGGACGATCGCAAAGTGCCGCGATGAGGAGCTCGAGCACCTGGAGACGGCGCTGGAGCACGGCGCAAAGCTGGCGCCGCTGCATGAGCTGCAGTTTGAGTTTGTCAAGGGCGGCTGCAGTCTGGCCATCTGGGCATGCGAGAGAATATAGTTTATCTGGCAAGGTACTCAATACATTAAAGTTTTTTTTTACTCGAGAGCAAACCGGTCCAGAGCACCACGCAGTTCAGCGCTCTGCATCAGGCCGACCGACTCGTCGCTATGGTTAACGTTGGTGTTGTACGCGCGGTGGTGATCGCGCTTCATCTTCTCGTACTCGATGGCCTCCTTCAGTCCGTTGTCAAAGTTGCGAATACAGAACAGCGACACGATCGCCGACGCAATGACCAGCAGCATAGTGGCTACAATGGTTATCATAAAGTAGGGCCGGCTGTCCTGGTACGGGTCGCCAGGTTTGTTGAGGATTTCGGCCCGGCACACGCGATAGATCTTGAAGATGAAGTAGCCGACCGACAGCGTGTAGCAAATCATGACTGTACGCATAATGCTCCGGTTCTCCATGCGCAGCGAATAGAAGCTGGCGGCCAATGTGCCGATACTGAACGGAATAAACACCGTCATCTGGATCCACGTCTCCGGGTTATCCACCTTGAGCACCAGGATTGACATTTGTATCAGGTACGACACAACAAAGAATATGTCGAGCTTCAGCAAAAGCATCAGGATCTGGTACCATTTGTACGACCGGTGGAGGAGATTGTCAGCGCCAAACTTTTTGTACACGCTCCAGCCGACCTCCGTCTTGAGCTTCCATGACAAGATCGCCAGAAACACAATCGCCGCGACATATGTGCCAATAACGCTGAGCTGCATGTGGTGCATATTCTCGTCCCGCAAAAAGATATTTGCTGTCAGCGTCGGGTACAGGTAAAAGGCAATGTAGCGGGCCACGGCGTACACGAGGCACACAAAGTAGAACCCGACCGACGCAAATATCTGGATGAAATTCTCGGTCGCCACGGCCTCCAGACAGAGTATCACCATGTATACCTGCGACAATATGTAGATGGCGTTGTACACCTGATATGCTGTCATCGACGTCTGCACAGAGTTCTGCACGCCCTCGACCTGCCACTGGTTGTTTTTGGCTGTCCAGTACCCCTCGCGCAACAGCCACATAATGTACGACTCTGCGATGATGAATGACAGGGCCAGCAGTATCACGGCAGCGATGTATGCCCGCGGCACCGTGCCGTTGGGGATTATTTTGCGCACTGGCTTTGGAAGCTTCGCCATCCGGGAGGTAGCTGTGTTATTAGTGGTTGGTGGATATATATACAGGGTCAAAAAAAGTCTCGGGCAGGAAAGGAGAACTGGCAAGGCGCTGCGAACAGACAGGGAGAGATATGCGGGTTTTAAGAATGCAGACAGAAGAGAAAAAGCGCAACGCCATCGCTGCCCGCAAAAGCTAGCTCCACAAAAATAGAACAATTTCCAGACACCCTGTGAGGGATTGTCATCATTTTTGACAACCCTCCCCCGCTCCTTGGCATTTGTGCGAAATCAGGCGACCGAGCTGGGACGAGCATTGTTTTGTTTGTGGCAAAAGTGTCCTGCGCAAGAATGCTAGCCTGCCCAAAGACGGCCACATGCAGATCAGCATTGCCATGCAACATGGGCGGCCATTTCGGATACCAAACGCAGTCGTCTACAGGGAACTCGAAGAGGCCGTCAGCTTTCCAGTCATTGCCAGTGGCGCCGGTTGGCAACTTGCCATCAAACACCCACCTTGTGTCTTTGGGCGAGCTTGCCGCGGGCCCGATGTAGATGCTGTTGTTTTTCGGCAGTTCCTACATTGCTCCAGAGCACTATCAGCACAGTGTGGGTGTATATAGCGCAGCACACGCTGCAACCCCTCTTACCTGCTTCTGCAGCTCGACAGCATCGATAGAATCGACAGACAAATCGTCTCGACTGTCAGCACAGGGGCTCAGTGCTGGTACCGAATGCTCAGACAGATATGCCCATTAGTACACACATACGGATGCACGGGCACATTTCCAAAGAGCATAACTTCAGGAGCCTCAACTGGGTAGTTGTCAGGAACCTTGAACAGCAGGGTAAACTCATCACCTGCGTATGGCGTGTGCCCTGCGGCGTGCAGTTTCAGCAGCCAGCGATCGGGCTGAGAGGCGTTGTACACGGATGCGTGACTAGACGGCGATGCAGTGAGGCCTGCTAGCTCTTTCATCAGCTGCTCTGCACGCAGACAGCCAGCCATCAGAATGACAGCAAGTGAAGCAGAGCCAAGAGGTCCGCGCCTGCGTTTGCCAAGCACTGGCGACATACCCTCCATGTGTGGATGTGGGCATCTGAGACCTTGCACCAGCCAGCTGGGGATATGCTTGATCTCGCAGATACAGACACTCCACACCGCCCTTGATCCTGATCGGCGCAGCGCTGTCCATTACAGGTCCGCGAAGATTACGACAGCCCACAGTTGCTGCTGCGGAAACAGAAAATAATTGTACATTTTTAGCATTGCTTTTTCGCTCTTCTTTATTTTTGAATTTACCAAATGGCGCGCGAATTGACAGACGACCAGAAGCAGAAGATTGAGGAGAACCGGAAGAAGGCCCTGGAGCGGCTAAAGGCTACCAAGGCGCGCACAGACACAGCCAAACCGCCCGAGCAAAAGAAACGGCTGCGCGGATCGAAAATGTCGACAAACTACTACGAGTACAACCTCACAACCATGCGCGACACCAAGGCAGGCTTCATCGAAGAAGACTCCCAGAAATCGCCCGAGAAGCGACGCAAAATCCTTACTCTGGACGAGATCCCCTACGACCCGTCGTCGACACAGAAATGCCGCGAATGCGCGTCGCTTGACCTGGATGTCGCCTACCTCAAGGTGTTCAAGGTCCCTGTGTGCCGCAAGTGCATAGAGAGTGTGCCTGACAAGTACTCGCTGCTGACAAAGACCGAGGCCAAGGACGATTACCTACTGACAGACGGAGAGCTCAGGGACAGAGAGCGGCTGCCCGTGTGGGAGAAGCCGAATCCGCACAAGCACACGTGGAACAACATGCTGCTGTATTTGAGAGAGCATCTGGAGGCATTTGCCATTGAAAAGTGGGGCGGCCTGGAGGAGCTTGACGGCGAGTTTGCCCGGAGGGAGACAGAGAAGCAGGAGCGAAAAGAAAGGAAATACAAGAAGTCGGTAGCTGGTAAGCAAGAAGCCAACATTGGTTGCATGTATTTGTAACGGAGTTCATCATTCTAAAAGGCTGTGCCGAGTAGAGTTGCGCAAGCGAACCAGGGTCGAGGAGTGGGAGCGGAAGCGCCGCGAACGGCTCAGGATCGAGCAAGCGCACGAACACACGTTTGAGGCTATCGGCGATGACAGCTGCGAGCAGAAATGCACCATCTGTGGACTGACTGTTGAGGTCGAAGAGTTTTAAGAAAGCATTCGTTGAGAATAAACGGCTCTTTATTTCCTTTTCAGTTGCCAGCGTTGCGGCGCCTAAACACAGCAGCAAAGTCGCTCATCAGCGACTTGACCCTGGCCCACTGGCGGCCCTGGATATGGTTCGACAGGTCGCCCATCAGCGACTGGCGGTCGGTCGGCGGCAGATTGGCATCAGGCACCTGCGCCAGCACCGCCTGCTGCCAGTCCATCATGGTGGCCTGTGGTGGAGAGTCGAACTGGCCCGTGAGCGTCGTCGGCCCGTCGCTGACAATTGCCGCAAGAGACGCAAAGATCTCGGTGGCCTCGGATATCGCCTCCCGGTCGAAGCTCTGCATCAGGCCCTGCATCAGCTTGAACACCAGCTCAAAGCCGTTCTTGGTACACAGCTCGACGATCTGCTCGACCGGATACGTGTCCATGCGGATGCTTCTTCTGCGGGTGCGCGCAGGCGACGGGAAGTGGCCGGGACTCGACGACGATGCTGGCATGGATGTGGTGGACCGGTTCTCGCGCATCACACGCAGATGGCGGCGGGTGGGGCTGAGCACCTGAGACCAGAAATGCACAACTGCCATCTGCGCGTGGAACTGGTTGACCTCGAGTGCCGCGATGGCAGCCTGGAACACGTACGGGAACGACTGCATGGTCAGGATGTAGCCGGGCAGCGCCTCAACCGCACGCTCCATCAGGCGGAAGTAGTCCTCAGTGGTCTCGGGCACCTCCGAGAAGGGCCTGGTCTGGAAGAACGACATGGCTGCCGAGCTGATCTGGCTCACCATGCTGGTAGCCAGCTGCAGCGATTCAGTCTCCTCGGCTGCCAGCGTGCGGTGCACATTGAGGATCCGGCGGGCCAGCCACAGGTAGGCAGTGCTGGCGGTCTGCTGGAACGCCTGGACCACGGCGTCGACGATCTGGCCGATCACTGGCCGCACGACAGTCGGGTAGAACTCGACCAGCACGCGCACAAACTTGCAGATGCTCTCGGAGATGTAGGCGTCGCCCCCAAACCGCTGGAACGCGACGCTGAGGACCTGCCACGAGTCGGCAATGATTTTGCCGGTCCACGCCTCGGCTGTCTCATTGTCGTCAATGTGCACATACCGCAGAAACACGCCCAGCCGGTCCAGCAGCAGCGAAACCTGTCTGCGCTCGTTCTCGCTCAGCTCCGGCGCCTGCAGCATTGCCGCCAGCTGGTTGCCCACCGGCAGGCAGAACGACTGGAGCGCCTCGGCCGTGTTCTGGTCTGGGATGCCGTTGGCCACATGTGCCAGGGCTTCCGAGAACTCGATAATGTCGTTGTCATCCAAGGTTCCGCTGGACGCCACCTCGTTGAAGAACTCTAGAAGCTCAGCCCAGTGGTCGGCCATGAACTTGGCGCAGTCCTGGCACAGGTACTTGAGCGACTGGGCACTGGCAGCAGCGACCTCACGGATCTTGAAGCCGTCGGCGATATAGCTGAGCTGGAACTGCACGTACTGCGGGTGCTCGTATGTCCACTCAGTGTACCGCCCAATCACCAGCGTTGCCGCATACCGCAGCTTCGGGTGCGGCGGGAACTGCGCAAACATGTCCATGATCTTTGGCAGCACGTCGTTCTCGGTCGGCGACACCTCGGCGCCCATGGCCCGCAGTGCAAACAGGGGCGCCTCGATGTCCTGCCACGGCACCTGGGCGCTGGTGATGCGGCTGGCGATTTGCTCGTAGGCATGCATCAGCGCCTTGGTCTGCCCCACTACGCGCACGCAGTCCTTGAGCACATCGCCGATGGTGTGGCGGAACTCCCTGAACTCGTCGCGCTCCTTGGCGGTCCACCCGCCGCGCTCGTTGGTCGTGTCGTAAGTAGCCGGATACTTTAGATGGCCGATGATGATATCTATGATTGTGTCAAATACGCTGGCCATCATGCGGCGGCCCGGATCGCACGAGTTTGTGTACTCCAGCACCTTGTCGGCCAGGATGGTCCAAAAGTCAAACAGCATAGCAATGACGTCCAGGCTCTCCAGCCGCATACAGTCCACCAGCGCGCCAATCAGGCTCTCGTACGGCGGCGTCGATAGGACCATGCGGTGCACCCACGCCTCGCCTGCCTCGGTGAAGATCCGGCAGTATCCGCGCGACCGGTCTTCGTCGCCGGCCCGCACCATCTGGTCCCCCCGCATCTGCTCCGCGACCATGCTGAGCTGCGGCACGAGCTGCTGCTCAACCGCCGCATTCTTCGCCTCAACCGCCGCCGGCTCGTCGTCGCGGTCCAAGTGGGTCTCGTATATGATCCCACAGATGGCATCCACCGCCGTATCAAACACGTCCGAGTCGTCAGCCTTGAGTGCCGCAAATGCGAGCTCAATAAGCGGCGTATTCGCTACCATCATCAGCGTGATCTCGCCACTCTTGAGCCACGTCGTGAAGCAGATGAGCACGCGCGTGTGCGCGTCTGCCTTGAGATCCGGCTGCTGCAGGCATTGCACCAGTAGCTGGATCAGGTCGGTGGCCTTGTTGGTCAGCAGGTCCGCCGACCGCTGCTGGTAGAAATCGTTGGGCAGGATGATCCGCTCGTTCACCACCTCTTCCGGCAGCACCGCCAGAAACTCGAGCAGGCACGACACCGATGCAGGGTCGCTCAGGAACGACCCGGCCATGTCGCTGAACGGGTCGGCCCACGCGCCCAGCTGCACAGCCAGATCGGCCAGCGACAGGCATAACTGTGTGATCAGCGGCTGGGGCCCCGACCGCGCATTGCCCAGGTGCACAACCACCGAGTCGCGCAGCGAGAGCGCCCCAGTCTCGCCCAGTTCGCTGAAATCGTTGATAATCTTGTTGCGCAGCGTCTGTGCAGCAAACATTTTCACCTCAAGCCCCGCTGTTGCTGTCCCGAGGATTGTGTCAGCCGTCGTCCATGCCTGTGGCTACAAAAAAGCCCCATGTTAGTGCCAAAAACTATCACAACTGCACTCAGCCAACTTCAGTCTGGTTCACATACCGTCTTTTGGAACTGCTCGAGCCACGCATTGGCCTGCTCCCGGGCCTTCAAATCGCCGCCCTGGTAAAGTACATTTAGCGCATTTATAACCTCATCGACCGACGACTGGGCAGACATTTTAGGAATAATATAAAAATAACGGAATTGGGACAAACAGCCTTTTTTTCAAAAAAAAAAAATGGTAGTAGAAGAGAAGGAGTGATAAAGTTCTGAGAAAAATCCACTGAGCTCAGATTTTTTTTTTTTGCTTTCGTCACTGATTGGAAGGGCTTTTTTGGCCGCAGGCGTGGCCGCAGGCGTTGTCGATTGGTATAAAAGGCTCGCTATAGCAACAGCAAAACCCCCTCTCTCCTCAACTCACCCGCTCCTCATTATTTTTTTCAAGCTCGACATATTCATGGCTATCACCGTTGGAGAAAACGCACCTGCAGTCACACTCGCCTCGCAAGCCGAGGGCAGCCACGTCCAGCCCAACAGCCAGGCTGCTGCCCCAAAGCGGAAGGCGCGGCGGCAGAACCGCAAGCGCAATGTGGTCTGTCGCTACATTCAGCGCGGCGAAGAATGCAAGGCCGGCAACGACTGCCAGTTCCTGCACACGCAAGATCCTGTGGCCGACGACCGGAATAACCGCAAGGGCAGAGGCAAGAAGCCCCGTGGCAAAAAGGGCAAGTCCGACACGTACCGTAAAACGCAGATCGAGGATATGCTGAAGGCGCCTAGGCTGACAGTCAAACGGCTGAGCTCGGACCGCAACGAGACTGCGTTGGCAGTCGAAATGCGGCCGTCGGATCCGGACTTCCCATTTGATGTGTCGCGGGTGTACATGGCGCTGGTGGTGCCTGGCAGCTATCCGACAGCGC